GGACACACCTGGGGAAAGACCAGTGGGCATGGCGGGGCTGCTCCCCAAGCCCCCTCCTGTCCCGACCCGGGTCTCGCTGTCTCCCACCCCTTGTGTCTCTGGCCCAGGAGCCCTGGGCTCCCCTCAGCCCACCCACTGCTCTGGGCTCCCCAGGAAGCAGAGCCCCTAACCTGTCTAGTGCCTCCAAACCCAGAGGGGGCAGGGCTGGTCCTCACCTGAGACCAGGAGGTCCAGGGGGTCACTGGGCTCCGACCACACCTGGGGGCTGTTCCTCAAATACCCGTAGCATCTGAACGTCCACCTGTGGCTGGGGGTCACCGGGCCCACGGGGAACAGGGCCTGGCACTGCCCACCAGGGAGTCGCTGTGCATCCAGGGTCCTGGAGGGCTTGTGTTCTCCATCCTCCATCAGAATGAACTGTTTGAGTCCCTGCCATGAGTGACACCGAAGGGTGACGTTCCCTCCTGAGGTCACGACAGGGCTGGGCAGGGCTGAGAGGCTGGGTTTGCTGTAGGTTCCTAGGAGAGGGGAGGCGGCCGTGATAAATGGGGCTCATGTCCCCACGTACCCCCAGGGCTGGGATGGGAGAGGGGATACCCGAGAGCAGACCCCCTTCCTGAGGGCAGAGCCTGGGGCTGGGGCCCTGAGTGGGTCTCACCTGTCACCACCAGCTCCAGGGGGTCACTGCACTCTGACCAGCCAGTGGGGCTGTGATAGGAACAGCTGTAGGTCCCTGTGCGCTGCCTTGTCATGGCTGGGATGGAGAACTTGGCCTTGTCCCCGGGCCCCAGTGGGCTCTGTGTGTCCCCAGGTACTGAACTTCCATGTTTTTGCAGACGGTACCACTGAGCCGTCCGGGTGCCCTGACACCAGATGGTCACAGGGCTCCCCTGGGGGACCACAGAGCCTGGCTCAGCCCAGATGGTAGGTTTGGGGAGGGTCCCTGAAAGGAAACCAGAGGCTGGGTCCCGAGCCCTCCCATCCCTGGTCCCCAGCTCAGCACCAAACCTCCCAGGCGCCCCACCACTCAGCCCAGACCTGCAGGTCTCCATGCCCAGCTGCCCAGGCGGTGGCCCTCGTCCCTGTGAGTAGGAGGGGCCTGCGCCCCTGGGGACAGACTCACCGGCCTGCACGTGGGTCCTCGGGGCCACACTCAGCCCTGGGAGAGAGTCCAGTGAGGTCCCTGCCCTGGAGCCTGAGCAGAGCCCCCCTCCCAGTGAGGCTGATGAGCCCTGGTGTCTCCCGACAGACCAGGCCGGGCTGGGGGCTGGGGGGCGGGTCCCCCCGGGTCCCCCCCTGACCAGGGCGCCCCCAGCGCTCACCGAGGCAGAGCAGGGCCGTGAGGGTGGGCGTCATGGTGGCTGCTCCCTGTGGCCACGGTGCCCGGAGGACAGGCCAACCACAGGGCGTGGCACTGGGAGGTCACATCAGCAGGAAGGGGAACCAGCCTCCTGGAGCCCGGCTGTGCTTCCCCAGGGCTGTGTGGGGTGGGCAGCGGGCTTCTGCTCCTGTTCTCCCCGTAGCTGTGGGCTCCCCTCACCCGGGATGTCCCGACCTCCTAGCCTGGAGCTCCTCAGTGATCCGAGCATCCACACATGTTTTGTGCACATTTGCAATGTGTCTGTCCCAGAAATGCATCTGTGGACAAGAAGATTCAGACTCCGAGTTTATAGTACTGACATTAGCCAAAAAAAAACACCCACAAATATAAAACAAATAGGAGTATTTGGTTTCTGTTGCTGCCATAACAAACTAATGGCTTAAAGCCACTCAGATGTATCATCCTACAGTTCTGAGGTCAGAAGTCCAAACCGTAACCCCGCACTGAGTTAAAATAGAGGCTGCGTCCCTTCTGCAGACCCTGGGGTACATCCACCCCCTGGCCTTCAGCTTCCACAAGCCGCCTGTATTCTTGCTTAGCCATCCCGGTCCGTCTTCCAAATCAGCAGACCCGAGCCCGGCCCTGGGTCCCTGCGGAGCAGCCGGCAGCCCCAGGCCTCCTGAGACGCCCCTTCAGGGGAGGGGGACCAGCCACGGCCCTCCTCCCAGGGCCTCCCCGGGGGTCTCCCTCACCCAGCCCGCCCACCAGCACATCCCGCGGGGCCTCGCCCGGGACGGGGTCCCCCAGCCCTGGGGGTGCTTCAGGGGCCACGCCATCCAGCTACCCTCAGAGCCCAGGGCAGCAGACCCGCATCTGCCGGGTCACTGCGCGTTCAGGGCCTGGGCGCCGAGGCCGTGAGCCCCGGGGGGACGCGGGGAGCAGGGCAGGGAACCAGCCACCTCAGCCCTGGGCTGGGGGCTCCTCACCCCTGCCCCTCAGGGGCCTCCCTAGTTGCTGAGCACAGCGTCCCCCCCACCTCCTGGGTCCTTCCTGCCTCCTCATGGCCCTTGTTCCTGGGGCAGGGCTCTGCCCCCCACAGGGGTCCCTCCTCAGCTTTAGGGGGCAGTGTGTGGTTCATACTCTGATTTCTGCAGCTTAATTGATCTTTATTAAAATACTTGTCTCCCACCCACAGCCCATGTGAATTGAGCAGTCATGTCAAGATATTTACCCCCTTTTAAAAAATCAGTTTCCATCTAGGTGTGTGTGGGAGACAGAAGAGTGATTTTCCTCGGCTGAGACGGCCTTTCAGGTTTCCCCGCCCGCCTGTGACGTGCGTTCGCTCCGTCGGAGTGTCTGTGTAAGACGTGTGTTTTGTCTTCTACAATTGTTTGGAAGAGCTCACTAGGGAAATTTGCTGCACCTGGAGTTTATTTTGTGGAATCATTTTAATTTTCAGATGTCACTTATTTAATAGCTCAAAGATGATTCAGATTTTGTATTAATCTTGAATCTGAACTGGATTTTTAAAAAAGATATTATTCCATCTTATCTAAATTGGATAAAGTTCTTCCTGAGGTCTACTTAATATTTAGTAGAAAAGGATTTCCATCTGAAATGGAATCAGACAGTGTGAAATGGAGAAGATCATGTATGTGTCCTGAGAAATTAAACATCTTAAGGACTGAGAGCCTGATTGCCTGTAAATACTTGATTTGCAGAAAACTGTCAGCTCATAACTTATCTTCATAGCTCCACCCTAGTAATCATCCTTTTATTTTTTGATGGAAAAAATGTCTCTATCATTTTATGTCCTGGTCTTGTAGCAAATTAGATTAGCTGTAGTTATTTTCAGTACTCTTTGCCCTTAAGCCTCATACTATAGTTGGGAGGCTACCACACCAGCCTCCGGTAGAATTAAAATTTCCTTAGTCTGACTTTGTGCTTTCCACCAGTGCCTGGGTATTGTGCACGCTTGTACGTTTCCATGTCACCGATTGGCGTCTTTATCATTTCGCCTGAGGAGCAACTTTCAACATTTCTCCTAAGGCAGGTTCAGGGATGAGCTCCTTCAGCTCCTGTTTGCCTGGGAGAGTCTTTATTTCTCCTTCATATGTAAATTATAACTGGCAATTTTTCCCTTCAACATGTCATTCTGCCCTTTCCTGGCCTGGAGGGCTTCTGCTGCGAAATCCACTGAGAGCCTTGAGGGGATTCCTCTGTAGCTTAAACTCCTTTTCCAAGGCTGCCCTTAGGATTCTTTCTTTCTTTTCGATTTTTGACAGTTTCTGTGTCATGTGTATTAGCAAAGATCTTGCACTGAGATCCTAGAGTGACCTATTAGCTCTGTGGACTTGGATGTCCAAGTCTTTCCCCAGGTTTGGTAAGTTCTTGGCTTTTATCACCTTAAATAAATTTTCTTCTCCCTTTTTTTTCCATTTTTCTTCTACAAAACCAATTATTCTAATATTTGGTCTTTTGATGATTTTCCACAGATCACACAGGCTTTTTTTCTTTTTGAAGTTCTCTCATCTCTTCATCATTATTTCAAGATCCCTGTTCTCTGACTCACTCATCGTGGTCTCCATCCACCGTCATCCACTGCGGACGCTCTCTACTGCATCTTTCAACTCATTCAACGAATTCTCCCACTCCAGAATTTCTAAATGTCATCACCAGGGTCCTTAGAAGTGAAAGAAAGAGGCAGAAAGGTGAAAGTCAGAGAAAGACGTGGTGATGAACACAGGGTCAGCGAGACGAGACGTGAGAAGGATTCGACCCGCCGTGGCCGCCTTGGAGGCCGTGAGCTGAGGGGCGCGGCGGCTCCTGGGTGCTGGGGAAGGCGCGGACTGAGGCTCAGCACAGAGCCTCCAGCACAGAGCACAGCCCTGCAGACACTGTCCGTGTGGCCCAGGGGACTTGAGGGGGACTTCTAAGTTACAGAGCTGAAGGATCAGAAGAGCGTGTGATTTTAAGCATGAACTTGGTAGCAATTTGTTGCAGGAGCGATAGGAAGTTAGAAACAGAGCGAGCGAGCTACAGGACAATAGCTACCGCGGGCTGACTTCTCTCTAAGGAAATACTTATGTAAGATTATGTGTCCGTTGACTTACTTTCCACATATCATTCTCTCATTCTGAAAACCAGGAACTAGCAAAAACCGTTACCTCCAATATGTGGGGACATGGCACAAGGGGACAAGATGAAGCGGGCCACTCCTGAATGTACTGTTTTATGTAGTTTCAGTTTTGAAGGCTGTCAGTATTCTACATATTCCAAAACACACAATTAAATCACAAAAGATGGGAAAGCACACCCTAACGTGAATATAAGCAAATGAAAACAAAGATAGCTTATATTCAATGAACAACAAGACTTCAGGGTAAAGCAAAGAGAAAGCAACTCTATTGACTTACTAGGAATTGGGGTTTTAAAACGTAAGGCAACAAGTGGACACACACAACCAGATAAGAAGCCCTGCCATGGTGCACGCCCGCACGCCCATGTCGCCAAAGGAAGGGGCGCCCACACTGAGGAACCCGCCCAGCAGGGCCTCCTGGGGTGGGGCGCCTGGAGGGCGCGGGTCCTGTTTAGAATCTGCAGGGAAGGCGGGCCCAGGGCGCAGGGGCTGGGCCATGGCTGCGGGTCAGACCTGGAGGTAAACCCTGGGAGTGGGAGACATCAAGCCCCAGAGAGGCCCGCGGGCTAAGTCCGGAGGGCGGGGCAGCCGCCTGGACGCCTGCCAGCGTGTAGACTGGAGGCACCCCTCTCCTTGGGCTCCCGCTGAGCCTCAGGGCCTGGGGTGTCCCTCCGGACCTTGGGTCTAGTCCCTCTGCTGGGCGAGACCTTGTGTGCATCCCTGCGGCCCGTTGTGACTTGTTCCTGCTGTGCCAGGCTTCTGCCAGCACCGCCTCCAGGATCAGCGGGCCCACGCCAGGCAGGCCCACACGGACAGAGCTCACCATGTCAGGCGGGGGTGCGGGCTGCAAGCAGGTCAGGGTCGCTGCCAGGGGCACAGAGCCCTCCCAGCACCAGAGACAGGAGCCCGTGCCCCACCAGGCGCCAGGCCCCGACCCCACCGGGACCTCCCCGGCACATTCCCACGTGCCTTACTGCATGGGGGCCGCTTCTGGGGGTGGGGGTCTGGTAGGGGTCAGGAAGGGCTGATGAATGCCTGAGCTCCCAGACGCCCCCTTCATTGGGAACACCCGCGCCCCGCCTCCCCTGGTCCCCCAGGCCCCTGGGTCCACAGCTGCGGGTCCCACGACCAGCCAGCTGGAGGACCCCAGGAGGGCCCGGCTGGGGAACTCGGGCCTGCCCTGACCGCACTGGCTCGGATCCAGGGTGAGTCCCCTACGGGAGTTGCCAGTCCCAGCAGTACACGGGCCTCTGCTGTGAGAGGGGCGGGAGACACCCCTGCCCGCTGAGCTGCCTGGAACCCACTCTGGGAGGCAGGGCCAGTCCCTCCCTGCTGGGCCTGAGGCGGGGAGCTGGCTTGACCACCGCCCCTCCCACCTTCCAGTCCTGAGCTTGTGGCCTGGCTCTGGGAGCGCTGGGACTTCCAGGGCCCCTGAGCTTGGGCAAGAGGGTGGGGTGGCCACCCCCACCCACCCCGGGTCCCCTGGTCACGTGCCCATCCCCCAAGCTTCCCTGGGCCTCCTCCCTGGCATCTGAGCATCCGGGGAGCAGGGGAAGCCAGGATACCCTGGGCGATTCGGCCCAAGACAGGCGGTGATTCCGCTCCCTGCCCTGGCCACCAGCCTCCTCCAACCAACGGGGTCCCCTGAGGCCTTGGCCCCAGGGCACAGAGGGAAGGACCCTGCAGGCTTATGGGGCTGGGTGGGGTCTGTGCTGGGGCCCCTGGGTGCAGTGGGTCCCTGGGAGCTGACTTCCCACAAGGATGGTGGTTGTCACACCTCCAGGTCCAGAGACCCTCCAAGGCCTCAGGGGAAAATGCAATGGGAGTCTCCTCTGCTGGGGTCAGAGCCCCCAGCCTCACAGACACTGGCGGAGCTGGGACAGGGGCCGGGCCTCCGGGTACCTGGGGTCTGGACGGGGTCTGCAGGATCTCTACCTCCTGGG